CTGCTTTTCTTCTTTTCTATTTAGGAATATGAGAAAAAAATTCACTCACTGGGCATATCGTTGATAGAAGACACGCTGAAGAAGCTTCGTGGAACGCCCCTCTTTTCATACATAATGTTGAGCGCACTTCTGCAACTTAGTATCCCTTTGCCCTTCAATTTTCGGGTTTCAGCTTTCCCATACCAAGAATCATTTGTCGGTCCCGTTGAGTGAGACGCATTCATGCTTGCTAATAAAAGTAGGGGACGGATATAAGGGTGGAGAACTCAATGAAGCTAAGCCTCAATCTTGATCCCACCTTGCGGGATTCGGGTGCATATCAGATTGATAATGATGTAACGTGATCCAGGTAAAAATGAATTGCCACGAAGTTATTTCAATCCGCATATGGTTAATATATAGGAAAGCTATCACAGACAGACTGTTGTCCAACCAATAGGTAAACGAAAGCCTTAGTTGCAAGAAATTGAGGAAATGATTGTTGGAAAGCTCCAAACTTGAATCGACCAGGGAAACGAAAAACGGACAAAGACACCGTCCATCACTCCCTTCAACAGTAAAGCACGAGAATAAGAAAAAGGCACTGGTGGAATGAAAGCAGCAGAAAGTTCCCATCCTTAACACACTCAATGAACCATCTCCGCCTTCAGAGTTTTAAAAGCAGTAATACGGCTATGAACAACATCCACCGACTCTTCGACATCAAGCTCTCTCAGAATCCCGCTGCCAACGTCATACAGTACTCCATGCAACTTCAATCCTCTCTCCTGAATTGCATCTAGGACCCCACTATTTTCTTTCAGCGTACGCAGCCCCTGGCGCACATTGATTTCTGCCAGTTTCTCCGCCGCTTCACTGGTATTCAAATCATTGAGCAGATACAGGTTCTGTTCTCGCAGGCGGCGGAGTGGCATGAGCCAGCTATCCAGTAGACCCAGTCTCTTATTTGCGAGAGCGGCAGCTATGCCACCGCACGATGTGTGACCACACAACACGATGTGCTTGACTTTCAGGTAGACGACTGCATATTCTATCACGCACGCGGAGCTCATGTCGTTGTAATGAATAACATTGGCGATGTTGCGGTGAACGAAGACATCTCCAGGCTGCAGACCGAGGATAGCTGTTTCGGGGCACCGAGAGTCAGAGCATCCGATCCAGAGGATTTCTGGGTGTTGGGCTGTGGCGAGTTTGGGGAAGAGAGATGGATCCTCTTCCGCGGTTTTAATAGCCCATTGACGATTTTTAGCTAAAGCCAAGCGATACGCGTCTAAAATGGAGAAGTCTGTTTAGCGTTGATTCTTCTGTAGACATGAAGTGGGAGGGATGGAGGGAATGGGGGCATGTCGAGAGGCATTTCAGGAAGGGGGAAAATCTTTTTGGCATAACATGCGTATCAATCGTCAATCATGCAAAGGGTGACGTCCATATTGGAGACTTTGCGAAGCGATAGGAAGAGATAAGATAGTTGCGTAGGAGAAGCCATATGAACAAACACCAATACCTTCTGCGCCATCTTGAAGTATATTTTTATCACCGGCAGCCATTGTCGTTATATAGATAAATACTTTTCAAGATGCAGTCCTCCAGAACCTCAGGTGACCGAACTCGATACTTATATGAGTGCTGACGTCGCGAGTAAGTTTTGAGACAAGAGAGGTCTGGCAATACAGGTGTCGAATAAGGGTTTATCTGCTGGTTGCATTAGCCATTAAATGTCGTTGGATCAGAGAGTGGAAGATACCCACCTTGGAAGATGAGAAAAATTATATCTGCAAGGTATATCTATAGATATCCAAAGGCTCCAGTCCTTTTCCTCCGGGAAATTTTAATTCCTTTTTCCTGTTGGGGGGAGGGGGTGTGGTCTTTATAGCTCGATCAGGGCAGAAAAGGGGAAGGGGTATAGAGCCAAGAAATATTTCAAATATGCATATGAAGATAAAGGACCACATTCTTCGCCAGGTTTCAGTATACATACAGCCAACCAACTGAACTGGTGCAGAGGAAGGATAATTCCTGTACATGCTTGAACATGTGAAATAAGGTTGACAAGCGGAAAAATTTGACGCAGCGGACGCGGCTCGAGAAGGCAACCCCGTTGTATAGTCTGGGGACATCCATCCTTCAACATGGGGTTTTTAAATCTGTCTCAATCTCCAAGAATTATATCGGCAAGTGGGCAATGAGAGGCCACGCCACCAATGCTTGAATGTCAGAAGCAAAGGGGACGGATAGGGACGGAAAAGACCTCAGGAGGGTGTGATATCTCTAGAAGGATGGATCTGAAGCATGAAACATCATGCCCGCTCAAGGTAAGACGGAAGTAGAAGAATACAAGTGAAAATATATCGGACAATCGGATACGACGATGACCAGGATATCAACATTCCAGGCTCTCAGATACACAGCATGGAGGCGTGAGCATTAAAAGTCCCGTTGAGGATGAGGGCATGAAGATGCCATATCTTTAACTCGTCATCGCTTCTCATCATTTCAGTGTCTGTGTTCGGTTGGAACTTCTGAGTCAAGATTGATTTATCGCGGGTTGGGGGGTTGGGGGGTTTGAGATTGAAGTACGACATGCGCCAGGAAAGTGTCTGTCACGCAAA